TCTCCTGCCTTGCTACGTCTGAGCGGGCGTCACAGTTACAAGCAGAGCCAAGATTCCAATCTGGGAGATGCGATTTCTACGCCCTCCAAGTCATCAAGGTCTTCTCCGGATCTAGATCAACTGAGGGACCTGGCATTCCCCTTTGCTTGAAAACATGTTATGTACGGGGGTAACATTGAGAGGAACTGGTTTCTGCCAAACAGGCCGAAATCTAGCGAGTTCCTGGTTTCCCTACTGTAGAGGGGTGGAAGCGGCAATCGGCCAGAGCCTGACGCAGCTTGTCAGCTCCTAAAAGTGGCTACTTCTGCGTTCAGGAAATGGTGACCTGTGAGTCCCAAATGTAGAAGCCTGTTTTTGTGCTGTCTTTGCAGGTTACAATTGGAGAAGCTGCAGCCATTTAGGGAGCAGCCAGGCAAACATAACACGTTGTTCAATACTACCCCCTGCCTCAGAAGTCAACCTGTTTTTTTTTTCTCCTTCTAAGCAGCAGAGTTGAATAAATCTGGCCCTCTTTCACTTTGCTGTTAGTGTTAACATGCAGCTAGACACTGTCATTGATCATGAAGGACATCTTTCACTGATTCTTTTTATATAAATAATTGTATCTACACGTTCCCTTCCCCTGGCTGAGGAGTGAGGGGGCAGCACACTTTGTTAAAACCTGATGGCAATTAAAGCACCCCATAAAACCCATTTAAAATACTACCGTGGTGCTGCCTGTGTGACCAGATGCTGCCAGCAGAAATTGCAGCTCTAGCAGGATTATTCTGAAGGGAATGCTAAATAAAGTCACATAACATCTGCCAGGCTTAGCTCACTCCTGGTGCTTTGTCAGAGAAGCTGTATAACAGTATATGATTTACTGGAAGTTTATGCTTCTTCCCCGCTCTGTGAATCCCGGTCACATGCTTTGTTAGATTGTACTCATATGCTCTTACATGCGAACGACAGCGAAACAAAAGAGCTTGTTCTTGGTGTGTCACATCATTTATGAATACATTTTGGTCCCTATGTAAATGAACTGTCATGTTTGTCTTGTGATGTCCTGTGGAAAAAAAGGAGAAGCTTTTGCATATTGCAAGCACGGCATTAATGTGTATTCAATAATTCACTTAAAAAAATGCTTTTTAAATGTGCTGCTGACATCTAGTGGGTACTTAATCCTAAATAAATTGTTAAATGAACAGGAAGCACTAAGCTGCTCTGGTAGCCTGTGAAGTTGTCGTTTCTTTACATCTGAACAGCACTTCTTTGTTCATGATGAAGACAGACGTGGCGGAGTCTGAAGCAAAGTGTAGTTCTTCATCCTGTCATTTAATATAATTTGTATCCAAGACGAGAGTAACTGGTTCAGATGGGTGCCCCAGGAAGATGCATTGGACTGTCATTGGTGTTTGAATTGCATGCTAAATTCATTTAAGCAGATGGTGTGGTTGGCACCGCACAAAGTATAAAGACAGCCGCTGCTTGATGAACATGCAATTTAAGGTCTTGATTCTGCAGCTGGTTACGTGACGTGGATCTGTATGCCGCTGCAAAGTCCTAGTGGGACTTTACACTGTTTAAGTGTCTGCTCCATAGTGGGCACTAGAAGATGTAATGGTTTTTATGTGGGAGCCTGGGAAAGCACAAGTCCATGTGTTGCTTTAAAGCTACGGCCAGCAACCTCTTCTAATCGGTGGATTCAGCTTTTCTGCAGCGGTCATCCTCTCATTGAGATTCCAGATTCCCCGTGTAAATGTTTTAAAATCAGCAGCACTCTTTGTTTGAAGTTGGTGTTTCTTGAAAAATACTGGAGTAACAGCCCACAAGGTGGAAATGCTCTTCATCCGCCAAAGTGATACAGCACAGGCAGCGGGGTGCTAACAGCTTCCTCAGTGCACCTCCATCAGCGGCTAGAGGTGCAGAGTTGGGGAGCAAACTCTCTAGGCCTCTAACAAAGCGTACGCTGTAGGGTGTGTTGGGTGTGGGGGACAGGGGTGCAGAACTAGAGTCAGACCACCAAACACAACATACCAGCTCTTGACGTTGCACCAGGTGGTAATTTTTGAAGACTACTAACCTGAGCTGGATAGAAGCCAGTGTCTGGCGATGAGTTAGCATTCAGCTGCATGTTCATACTGGTTTTAAAAAGAACAGACAAGCAGGTGAGCCCTGGCACCCTTTGCAAAGATGACAAGTTGGTTTGTCATCTATGTGTAACGTCTCCCCTTAAATCCAGGTCCCCGGGTTGACAGTCCCTGCCTGTACTTTAGCCACAGAACCATCCTTGCTCGCTTTGCAGCCTGTGGCTTGTGGATGCTCCTGTCTTTGTGCAGCCAGGGGTTATAGTGCAACCTGGCATTATGTGCAACGATACTGTAACAGAAATGTTTGCAGGCCCTCAGCGTGGTTGTGTGTTCGGACTCTGAAAGTCTCAGAACACACTTCTTAAAGAAAAATGAAGTGCTGACTACCGGACGTTCGCCAGGAGTTATAATGAAGAGGATTGGTGTTTATTCTAAAGACTCGAGGCCCTCTTGAAGCCATTCCGCAATACCTTCTATAGATCATGTTCCTTCATATACAATAGGATACTTCTGGAAAGTAGTTTTGATCATGCATGATAGAGTAGTTAGTTGGTATTGTTAATTTAGTTTGATATCTCCAACAGAAATCATGGTGTCCCTGTGGCTTTCAAGGCAAGGTATACAGAAAGTGCCCTTGAACTGACCATGCTTAATGTAAAATGTTTTGTACCATATTTCTGCCATTGCAGCGTTGGTTCTGATGTCCTGAAAGCACAGTGTGGGCAGTGTGCAATTGCCCATTACAAATTGAGCTAAAAGTTTTATTTAGAAGACGGAGGCCGTGGGTTTGAAAAGTTAGGTCAAGATGAAATCACTCCAGACAGATGCCGGATTAGCGATTGCCCTAACCACACCAACCTCTACAGCTTCTGGGTGTTAAATGCTAGGATTTTCAAAGTAACCTGAGGGAGTTCAAATCTGATAGATTCGGTAGGAATTGAGAGCCAAGCTCTTAGGCTTCTTTGCAAAATCACATCCTGAAAGTCCTGCACAAATAACATAGCCATCTTGTGAGCTTTGGGAAGCAGCAGGATCAAGGCATTTGTTGCTTCTCCAGCAGTATCATTGCAGAAGCTCAGATTGCCTCTCCCCTTACTCCAGAATTAGAGCAATGGCAGACTGCTCGAATAAGGGTCCACAAAGAGTTGTACAGGTTTAAGTACAGCAGCATAATTACGCCAGTCTACTGCTAGCAAGGTCTTGTGCAGACAGCCCTGCATTTTTACGTAGCATCCTTTACCTTGGTGTTGGAGTGCCTGCGAGTGGATGGAGATATATATATAAGGATGCGGTTGCTGATGCTTGGGTCTCCACAGTGGCCATCCAGTGTCTTGGCTGCGCAGCATTGAAACCCTCAGGATGGGCACTTTTGAAGTGGTGAATATAAAAGTGCTCATTTGAAAGCTGTTTTTATGCTTGATAACTTGCATTTCAGCTGGAGGCTGCCACTGAGTCCATTTTCCTGCCGAATGACAAAAACCCAAGCCGAACTTGGTGGCCCCAAAACGTGTGTGGGCTTCTCGGGTTTCATCCCATAATGCTCCTGCATAAATTCTGTAGTCACCCATTGAACTGCCAGGCTACAGAAAAAGTTATCTTTTGGGATTTCTGGCCAATTTTGGAACCCTGTTATTTACTTACTAAAGCAGTTTGATCTGTTATTGTAAATCCTCCTCTTTTCATGCAGCATTGATCTGATACCATGTGCGACCATTAATTAGCAGCTAAAGTGACAGTAGAAAACTGTAATTACAGCACTGCATTCACGGACTGATCAGCCTTGAGTAATCATGTTGGCACAGTCATGGCAAAGCGCGTTTAACATGAAAATTACATACCTTGTTCATAATTCAGGGTAAAAGGGAACCATTACTGAACCATGATGTATTTTGCATTTGTATATAATGCTTTTACATAGAGAGGAGCTGGAGCACACGGAGGTGAAGTGACTCAACCATAATCATATAGCAAGGCGACAGCAGAACAAAAATAGAACCCAGGAGCCCGGATCCCCGAGGTGAAATCCTAGCCCCGTTTTAGTGAGTTGCAAAACAGTCATTGGCTTCACCGGGTCAGGATTTCATCCCAGGCTTAAAGTGCTAAACTCTCCTTTTCAAGTCCTCCCTAGTAAACCGAGCTGGATTACCCTTTGTTTTAGTTCTGCAAGACAAGATGTCTTTGTGAAAGAATCAATTTCCTTCCTGTTTATTGTATGTGACCCATCAGTAAAAATAGCCTATTTCGATCACTCGTTCACTCAAAATGCATTTGGCTATTTTTAAATAGACTGCCTTTTTGCCAGAGGAACAGTGCAGTGCCATTTTTATAGCCCTTTTGCGTTGCATTTGCTTGCAAGGGTAAGTTTTTTCTCTTCTAAACCATTAGGCCAGCATTGGACTTCGTGATTTGAAGATCACACGCTAGAAGTAGGACGTTTTAAAGCTTTTTAGCTAATTACGGAAACCATTTTAAGTATTGTACATTATGATTTTGGGGTAATAAAAACTATTGTGAAAGATGAGACTTTCCTTAATATATATTTTTCTCGTATCATTCAATTTTTAGATTTCTGTCTTGGTGGAAAACCTTTTTTACCCCTCAGGAAGCCAGTTTAATTCTTGTGGGGTTGCAGTTTCTAAAAAGCACAGTGGTTTAATGCTGTGAAACCAGGCTGACCGGTGTAAATTGTGTCTCTGGAAGGGGGTTGCACAAGGGCTAAAGGTCCTTTTAGACAAGTTCATAAACAGGATCTCTGAATAGCTCCACAGGAAACCTTGAATTTCAGTCACGAACTGTGCAAGGCCTGTTTTGTTCCCTGCTGATAATTTGACAGATAATATGATTCTGTAATATCAACAGCTTTTTAATGCCATCCTAAATAGCACTGTGTTTGGGTTTTCTTATCGGAAAGAATTGTGGATTGTTTTCCAGGGGTCGATCCTGCTTTGCAAAAGGAACCCAGAAATCAGACGCCTGCTCCATCTGCCGCTCCAGCACCATCCACATCCAAGTATCATCGAGCTCGCTCTGGAGGAGCCAGAGATGAACGCTATCGCTCAGGTAAAGACATGACAGTTGCTCTTCGGATGCCCTTGCTGGTGTGAGAAACCCCACCATGTGGTCTCAGGACCCCAGCCAATTTCTGGTCTCTGCGCTAAGCCCCACCTTGCCTGTAGGCATGAAGGAGGTAGCGAAGGGGGAAGACAGTATCTCTCGATTCTGGCTTGAGTTTGGGGAGCGAGTGCTTGAACATCGCGTGGAAGTGTCCTACCCCACTTTTGGAGACGGCTTTTGGGGAGCTTCTTCAACAGCTGGAGAGCTCCAACTCTCCAGTCATTTTTTCGCCTGATCCCTGTTCTGACAGTGCCACCGTTTAATCTGTAGAGGGACGTAGGCTCAGGACTGTATTTGAGGGATGGGCGCTCAATGTAAGCATAATTGATAAAGTAGTGAGTGCAGGGAGTGTTTTACTTTTGGCCACTTGGTCTAGGGAAAAATCCAACATTTGGCAGTACAGGGTACCCATAATACAGTTCAGACCAGTGGCGGCTAGTGACCCACTGCTCCTTAGACATGCTGTGTTCCCTGCTGATGGATGGGCTCCTCTGCCCTACAGGCTGAAGAACAAGAGCTGACCTTCTGTCTGTGTGCACAATTCCTGCTAGATACGCTGCTCCGCTGGTATTACCAGAGGCATGCAGAATGTATGCAGTATACCCATTCCGGTGACTTTGTAATGCAAGCATCTATGTTGCTTTCATGTAGATTGGTCCCTTTAGACTGTGCTTGGTAATACGTCGTCTTTTCCCCAGTCACAATGCCTCTGCTGCTCTGCATGTTGCGAGGGGGCTGTAAGCATCTGGCCTCGTCCAAATTACTCTCTTGGTCAGAAATGCTCCAGCTTGGAAGGGCTCCGTAGTGGTGTATAAACAGCGTCTACTCGGGCTTCAAACATTCTGTCACAAATAAGATGCTTCCTAATCAAACTCCCCCCTCCCCACCCCCGAGGTCTGCATTGGTTGGCAAGCAGGACAGGGACCAGGTTGTCAGATGGGAGGACGTTTAAGCAAGTGTCCAGAGTTGGACTGTCAGTGGTGCTGTGCACCCCAGCACCAGGCACAGTAAATGGAGGCTTAAATGACTTGTCCAGAGCCGCTAGGCTAGTAGACGAGCACAGCTCATAGCCCCTTGCAGCTGAACTGCAGACACTGATGGCAGCTTTACTGAGTCCCTCATGCCATGAGTCAGAGTGGGAATAGTGTGGGGCTGGAGTAAGCCACTTCACCACTCTCCTGTTTCCTTCTCTGTCTGAAGGAGACGGTACCCGCGTGTCACGGGATTGTGGAACGTAATTCCCTTCTCCGAAGTACACTGAATGCCTGCGGTGGGAGACCGGTAGAAGAGGAAAACTATTAGCAGCAGCACTGCTAATTGTGGTAGTGTGCAGTGTGATTTATGTAGGGTTTTCAAGTGCCTATACAAACAATTTAAATCTGCTGATTCGACTCACTGTCCCCCACTGCAGGCTCTCCCGTCCCATAATACAGTTCTCATTACCAGTCCAGTGATGTCTGCCAAGATGCTTGGCACTGGAGTCTCAAGGTCACTTTGTAGTCATTCATGTCTGCAGGGTTCCAGGTTGCTTCCCCGCTGCTCCTCTGACACCGTTCCTACAGCACTGCATCTCGGACTGCACAACAAATCTGACCTCTGTTGGAGAGCAGGGGGGAAAGTGATTTTCTGGCATTTTTCATAGTTCTGTTGATTTATTAAACAATACAAGCATTAGACTTTTTATTTAAAAAAGCACGTGTCACTGACAGTTTCTTCTGGCTGATGCTCTTTAACTTCTTCTTTCCCCCTGCCCCCTTCTGAGGCAACAACTTTTATAAGATTTTAATTCCTCTTATCATGCTTTAGGAAAACATCTGATTTCTGAAACTTTGAGGCTTGTTGGTTTGTGGTATCGGGGCATGAACTCTTTCCGTGAACCCGTAGGCTGGTTCTCTTCTGAAGTTGCATTTCAAACTTTGGGCAGGCTCTGCTGAAATCCTAAAGCATGTCTGGCTTTTTATGTTAAAGGGCCTATTGTATTCTGATGTTGTGGAGCATGAAGTGACCCAGTTTGGTTTGCAGAGGCCTTTTGGTAGGAATTGTCTAGCCTAGCATAATAGACAATATCCAACTAAATGTCACAAGATTAAAAATGTTTCATAGCAGATTGGATGGACGGTGTGTTGGTTCTTGCAACACTTGTATTGCAGCCTGGCCTAGCGGCTAACTGGTTTCAGTGCCTGACCCCGTATCAAGATACAGAAAAAGCAGGATAGATGAGAGGCAACAAATAATTGTTGTGAGGCCAGCTGAACTTGCTAGTGAGACAGTGGGGTTCAGTTCCTAGTGCAGGACGCTAACCCGATGTTCTTGAGTTACTGTCTTGGCTCTGCCACCATACTGTTCTCTGGCAGGGAGCCTCTGTGATTGTCTTCATCAAAATGGCACCTGTGGGGTGGCAAAGTTTAGTTCATGATTTATGCAGGTCCAAAGGGCAGGCAGGATGTTAGCTCAGGCCTGCGAATGACTCATTTTTAAGCCTCATAAATGTTTTTATCGTCTTCCCCCCCCCCCCCCCCCCCCATGTTTTTATTGATAGGAAAGTCTAAGTGCCCAAACTTCCGTTTTGCAGATATCCACACAGAGGCCGTTCAGGCAGCACTGGCAAAGCATAAGGAACAGAAGATGGCCCTGCCCATGCCAACTAAGAGACGGTCCACATTTGTACAGTCGCCAGCTGATGCCTGCACACCTCCAGGTTAGACTCTGCACAGAGCACTCTTTGGGATCGGTTGCTAACCAAAAGTGTGAAGTTGTGAAAAGACCAGACTGTCGGTTCTGTTGCGCGCCACGCTAGCTATCGTTTCTGTATCTGTTGTGTCATGCACGAGTGTCTGGTTATTTGCATGCTCGGGATGCGTCAAATTGCCATCCTTCCTGAAGCTGATACCACAGCGGGGTTTTATAGTAGGTGAAAATGATTACTCCTCGGGGCCTCTTAAAGAGTTAACTGGCAAGAGCTAAGCAGCCTTTTTTGAATTAAGAGCTCCTCTTTTACTTTCCTGATCATGGTCTGAGTCTTTTGGTTTATAAAGTGTTAAAACAACACCCATGTTGCCTTTCTGTCCAAGTACATAGCTTTCAAAAGCAGGTGCTAGTTTCTTAAAGTGTAATTAGTAATTTCCACTGATGTCCCTTTCTTGGGCATGGACTTAATGGGATACCAAAACGTTTGGGCCCTTCTCCCTTCCTATCCCTTCGCTGTTCAGATCTCTTGCTAGTCCTGGTATGGATTCATCAAATATTAATACATACACTTTTCCACGTTTCAGGCATCTTTGTGCGTAGGGTGAAGGGCTGGAAATACAATGTCACATCAGTGTTTGTGCTGATGCCAACAATACCATAACCTCTGGGTGATGGTTTTACACAGCGCTACGCAGTTTGCTCACTTGGTTGCTAACACTAAACAATTAACTTTTGTTAAAACAAAACTAAAAAAACCCGACCTCTTGAGCCTGCAGTTTATTCGTGTAGGAGCTGTCTTGGGGTTATCTTTAACTAGTGAGTTACAGCTGCGTACTCATCACGATCCAGAAACTAGACCAGGAAACAAGAAAAAAATCACTGCACCAACTGGCAGACGGTCAGGTGTCCCACTCCTACGCACGCGCAGGGCCTGGTGCAGCGAGGCAGATGACAAGCCTCTCTGTTAGACTTCGGGTCTGATCACGGCATTTACTACTGGCAGGGAACCGCTGCGCCTGCCCCTCTGCCGCGTCAGCCTGATGAACATCTCCTGCGTGGTATGTGAGACGCTTTGTGTAAAAGGCATCAATGGGCCTTGTGAAAAAATCTGCAACTCAAAAGCAATCTTACGCTTGCTGGTTTGTAATTAGCATCACTTCAGCTCCCTCACCCGTCCGCTGTCCTGCTCACAAGCATCGCGACCTTGCATTAGGATTGTATGTAGCCTTGTCCACGGGGGTACCGTTTTATACGTGCTCCCTTTCTTGCCTTCCTCCTTAATGTTGTCTGGCTTGTTCTTTCTGTGATATCTAATCTGAAGGCGCTTGTCCATTATTAGTCCCCGAGTGGGTAATGCCCTTCATTAAACCTTACTCCCCTCACAGTTATTATGCCTTTAAAGTTCAGTGTCGTTAAACATCTCCTCTCCCCAACCTCAATCCCCTGTTGACAGCTGGGAGCAGCTAATGAACCTCATGTTGTCTGTGTGCATTTGTCAAAAAAAAAAGCAGCATCTTGTGGGGTGGGGAATTTAAAGCATTTAGCTTGGTCGAAGGCTCCTGAGCTCTTTGTCAGTATTTGTGACCTAATTGTGTAGATACTCAAATTCTTTCAGATAGCTTGAATTGCTGCCATCTCATTTTTCTTTATGGCTTGAAATCATTCACCAATGTCATGAGGTTATTACCTCAGCTTCTCCTTTGTAAGGGTTCTTTGTGCATAGATATTAGTCATTCATGTGGATCAACACGTTAACAAACACAGCAGTATGCACAACCAGGATTAAAATCCTGCCAGCTTTCCTTTCTGCGCTGAGTCCTGTTGCACCTGTGCGCACGCAGCTTGCTCTGCACTATTCCAGAAGCTTGCATGGACTCATGCAGTGGGTTGAAGTGGTGATAACCCATCTAAATAGTAAAGCACCAGCAAACTCCATCTAGTCTGGAATTATTTCATGCTAGCTGGCAGGGCTGTCTGCAATTAGGGCCAGAGTTCAGGGCCTGGCTCACAGCCTTGAAGAAAGGGAGATTTGCAGCTGCATAGTCAGTGACTGGTGGCTGATTTGCACTTCGTAGGCTCTGGGGTCTAGCTCTTCTGAAGGATGTGACAGTTCAGGCCAGTGGGGAGAGGTGAAAGGGAAAAGCAGGTCTGAACCCCGTGTCCTGTACCACTTCGCCATGCCCAAGTCATAATGAGGGAAGCATTCTGTTCATTCAGCAGAGGCGATGTCTTTCTGGTGGCCTGAATGAATTGGAAAGGGACCTGGCCCAGTTCCTTGGGAATGGGCATCTGGAAAATCAGGAAAAAAAACTATGGTGAAAACCTGACAGTTGAGGACCAAATTCCCCGTGAAGATCAGTGCTACTCTGGGCCGTTTGTGCACAGAGTTTGCTCACTGCTTGTGCTGAACCTTGTTGTGAACAGCTCAAAGATTAGCCTCTAGGGCCATAATTCCGTCACCTTCCAGGGACACAAAGTTCAAAGCCGTTTCCTTTCAGTCTTCTTTACCAGTCCAGATATTTGGGTTACAGTTTTTCTTCCCAGGCAGCAGATGGAGAGAGCAGGTTTTAATCATATCTGAGGATTCAGACTGATATGCTCTTATCAAGCTACTGACTGTAATGAGTCAGAACACTGCAGTTCATGACATGAAGTCCATGCTAATAGCTTGGCAGAGGAAGGGAGTGGTTTGGAAAAAGGGTCTCAAAACTGGGATGGAAAATTTCTCCATGTAACTTTCTTTAACAAAGCATCGGCAGTGACTTGGGTTCCTTACACCTCTTCCACGTTGTCCTAGGGATGCTGATTGTGTGTGTGTGGCAGTGGAGTAGCTGACGCCAAGAAAACAGAAAGTTGCTACATGCTCGTTTTGAAACTCAATGAAGTTAATAAAACCAGTGTGTTCCCCGGCTTTGTGGAAATCATAGCATTCAGCACTAAACCACCTGCTTAAAATTTCAGGCAAATCTTTCCCATGGACTCTCTTGGCACAGAGCCGAGTCTGAATTTTAAATTATTTAGATGTTGTGTTTTAGCAGAATGCATTATATAATCTTTTAAAAGATGCACATAAGCTAAACTTTGCCAGAGCTGCAGTCAGCCTTCAAGATGACTTTTAAAACCAAAAAGGTTTTGAGCTACATTTTCATATCCGTTGCTATTCTCGCTTGGTGAAAAGTAAGCAAATATGTTACGTATACTGTAGAAATTCTGTTCTGTTAAGCAGTATTTGCTTTAGATGCTGTCTAAAATATATTATTAAATCACAAGGGTGGAAGGTGCCTGTCAGGCTGTAGGCCAGGTGGCAAATACCAAATGCAGTGAGGTTCATACGAAGCATTTCCAGTTCCAAATGCTGCCTGCTCGACAGTCGTACTCGGAGGCTTCTGTGAGTGTGGCAGGTTTGGGATTTTTGTACCACTCAGATGTTTGCAAATGGGGTTTTCTCTGGTTCTGCATCAGTGGGCTACTCTCTCCTGCAGTTGTAGATCAACTCCCCCACCAAGAAACTTCCTCCACCCTCCCTTCTCTCCCTGTCATCAGTGACAAATAGGTTACAATATGTTTACTTGCCCCATAACACACTTTATGAAAACACCATGTGTATAGATCGTTCTTCTAGGTCTGGAAAATCCTTTCAGCTGGCAAAACGGTACTGAAACGCTAATCAGTTTAGACCACATGCTGAAAAATGCATATGCTATGCATGAACATATTAATCTTTCTAGCACCTCAAGTGCCCCCTGTGTTTGCTGAAATACCTGCTCAGCTGTGTCTAGTAGTATCACGAGGAAAGGACACCAGTTTCCTCAATGATAGCAGGCTTCCCGAGAAGCTATTTTAATTCATTACAAATTCTTTTTAAAGGACTAGCAAAATAGGGAATTGAATCGAAACAATACACCTGCTTGCAAAATTGATCCAATAAAAAGACTTAATGAAACCAGTGGGCTACAAACCCAGCAACCTAAAGCCAGTTTTGCTGCCCTTCTCAGCTCAAATTATTTTAATTTCAGATGTCTGTGCATTAGGTTACAACAAAAATAAAACCACTTGATGGGGTCAATTTACTATTGTAGGTCAAGGCTGAGCCTGGGAACTACATGTGTATAGTCTGACAGATGATTCCTTCCACAGGTGCAAAAGTCTTTCCTCATTTAATGAATTCCACTTTGAGTTTATTTCACTGGAAATGTATTTTCGTTGAGAGGTTGACTTACAGTTCTGTGTTTACTGTGAATAGCAAGATTAATTTTCAGCATGGCAGGGAGGGGCGCAGCTGCTCGTCTGAATCACCAGTGCACTGAACCATGCTTCTGTGCTCTCCGTTTTGTGGTGTCTTCAGGTCTCATTCTCTAACTGGATTTGTTTTCATCATTTTTCAGCATGATGAATGTTGTTTTAGGTGCTGTCGCCCGTGCCAGCCCTCTCTGCATGGGTTCATGTTCTTTATTTGGGGCCTGATCCAGAGCCCAGTAGGAAGCAGTGAGAGCCCTTCCGTTTGTGTCCTTGAGTTTTGGGGCAAGGACTTGATAACACCTACAATTCTACCTTGAGAACTCGCCTTGTCCTGGACCTGTACTTCCGTTTGGGTTTGACCTGCTTTCCCAACTTCGAATTTGTTTAAAAAAGAAAAAAAGAAAAGAAAGGTAGCATAATAGAAATGGCGTAGTTGCCTGGCTGCTCCTGTTGTGGGGGCAGCGAAGTGGCACTGCCCTCTGGGATCTGCACTGGTTACCAGTAAGCAATATCTCTGACCTTATTTGTGTAGCACACAGGCCCTGGCCTTTGAGTTGCCTAGGAAGCCTGTTTCAACAGCCACTGCAAGGCAGCAACCTCTGGTCTTGAGTTTCCATCTGAATTGGATCTTATTGACCAAGAAGTTATTTTGTGGAACCGACCCCGCTTGCATGACTCCACTCATTGCATCTCTGTGCACGTTCTTTCTGTTGGGCCATTTCACCTCTGGCTAATTTTGGCCTCCCTGTTGATCACTCTTCCTGTTGGTTGAGTGGCTGCTCAGCTCGGCTGCATGGGTCCCAGCTTTGTTTTAGTTGTACGGGACTGGCACATCGTGTGTCGTGGGTGCTGAACAAATCAATGCTGGCATTAGAACTGGCTGTCGGTTTGCAGTGTGCGCCTCAGACTCCAGCGGGGCACTGGATCCTGCTATGCCGAGAGGGTAGGTGTGATTTAACAGTTTGATTTATGACTTAAAAGAGCCTCCTAAGGCTTAGGATTATGGGCAGCCAGTCACTTACCCGAACACAGAAGTATTTGAAGCCAAAGCTTAATGTAAGTTTATATATAGCACCATGCACCTTTATGTTACTGTATAAGTAGTAAATAATGCAAGATCCCTTATGATGTCTGAATTGTTTGTCCATAGACTTCAAATAGAGGAAATGTCTGTCCCCTTGCAAGTGTGGGATGTAGTCTCCTGTTCTATGATTTTTTTTCCCCTCCTAGGATCAGTTGAAATGGACCCATGTGCATCAGCAAAACTGTGTGCACATGAACAGCCTTAGGTGCTGAGGAACGTAAAGGTGCTACTCCCTGCTGGATTCCTGTAACACAGTGATGGCAGTATAGATCTTTTCCAGGTCTCCAAGCAAACTTGTGCTTTCCAAAGACTGATTCTGACACCACCTTTTCCATTTCAGAATAACTGATGCTCAGTGGCACAGCAGCTGGTTCCATAGAGCGTTTGAATGCAGCGGCAATGAGGGATGAAGCTTTGAACTGCTGGGCCTGCCTTTTCAGGGATAACTGTCTAACTGATGTCTGAATGTTTTTGTAAGCATTTCTTTTTGAACAGGAGCGCATTGATTCACGCTGAGGATGTGCGCTTGCTTTAACCAATTTTACCTTTGTTTTGGCTATGTAACCTTGTCGACAGTCTGTAAAGCAAGTCCTCTGTGTTAGGAGATGTGGAGCCTTTGTCAATGATATTTCAATTGCAAAGAGAGCATGTTGAGTGCATTGTGCTTCCCTAAGAGGCTAGATTTTCTTTTCTGATTCCACACAGACACATCTTCTGCATCCGAGGACGAGGGGTCACTAAGGCGCCAGGCTGCTCTTTCTGCTGCATTGCATCAGAGCTTACAGAATGCTGAGTCTTGGATCAACCGATCTATTCAGGGGTCATCCACATCTTCATCTGCATCTTCTACACTGTCCCATGGAGAAGGAAAAGGGACCAGTGGGTCACTAGCTGATGTATTTGCCAATACTCGAATAGGTAGGAGCTGGGTATGAACAGCAAAACTAAAAGCACTTTGAGCACAGCCTCTGTATTCATAAAGGTAGCGTTCCCAGTTGTCCAAGGGGAATTTGGAGTAAGGTATCATTCAGCCTTGGCAGAACTCACTGGCCTTCAGTGGAGTTGCACCAGCACTAAGCTTGGCCCAGGAGGTTAGAGAAGTGGAAATGTTGCTGGTGAAGGGGAGCAGGAGTGCGCTGCTAGAGAAGGGGTCCCACAGATGCAGTGACGGTACAGACCTGTTTGGCAGGCAGAGCTTGCTTTCTGCGTTTTGGTGTTGCTTATGTCTACAGCTACTTGACCCTACTATTTGCACAAATCATGCTGCCAACTGCACAGGGTGATTTTGGCCTTCATGTTCTGCAATGTCATGTCGATTCTTTTCTTTAAATAGTTGGGGAATATTTTGCTTTTGAAGAAAACTACCTGCACTACAGGTGCTTATAATCTAGCATTTTTAATATTTATTGAGTAAAAAAGAGGAGACTAAACATGTGCCCTGACAGTCACCAGAGACTTGCCACAGCACAGATTAAAGATCCGACGCAGATTTTTTTCCTGCTTTAGCTGTCCATGTTCCCGAGATGGAGGGGAGGGGGAAACTACAGATCTGGATACCCCAGGCTCAGTTTTTTGATGCTCTGAGGTGTTCCCTGCTGCTGATGCTTCTGTTTGAAATTGCAGGGTGTGTTTTGCTCCTTTGTATGTCTTTCCTTTTTATATATGCTCTTCAGGATATTACTGCATCCCAGGGGCATATCTGTGTCTGTGTGCTCTGTGCTTTGGCTTAATTGGTTTGGGACAAGCAATGCATAGAAGTGTTGGTGTCTTTAATTGCTTCACTTTCCTTTCCTTCTTTGATGTTTTATATTGCTGGTGGTTTTGTTTGGCTCTGTACTGGGATGCAAGTCATTTCTGAAATGGAAAACCTGGGAAATTGTCCATAAAACATAGTCAGTATAATTAATACCTTACTAAAGCATAGAGGCACGTGTTAAACTGGGGAATACAGAAAAGAAATGCCACTGCAAAATCAGCTTCTGATGATGAATTAGGGTTACCTGCTCTTCAAGTCCTGAACATTTAGCGTCTAACAGAACTTTTTTAGTACTTTCCAAATGATGTTCAACAACATTCGAAGGTAAATTAGTTTTAAATAATGTTTTTATAATAACTATCTGCAACATGGGAACAAACAAGAAGATCATCTTGTGGAATCGTCTAAAACCGAATGCATCCGAATTCTGGCCTGTGCCGTTTTGTTGGTGAGCTCTTTGAAGAACAGTAAAAATGCATCTGCTTGCTCAGGTGCGAACAAAACCGAGGTCTTTGTTTCCACTGAACTGAGGAGCTCTGTCCAAAATGAGCTTTTCCTATTGTCATACTTCCCCAGGTGTGTAGGAGGGGAGTTCCTGTCCTGCTGTCCTTGGGAATCCAAGTAAACATACTTGGATTCTGTGTATTTTACCAAGTAAAAATACACAGGAACTACCTAGAAACAAAAAATCCTTACCTAAAGGAAGGAAGATCAGAAGTAACACTTTTGCTGTGCAAGTGCCTTGCACTTGAAGCACTGCAAGTGGACCTCTACTTTACATCTCTTTTGAAAGCCGGGACCTCTTGTCAGCACTGTGTGCCCTGTCTTTGAAGCTGCTAAAGAGACCAGTAGAACATCCAGTTGATGCCTAAGTGCTTAGCTGTTGAGATTGAATGATATTTCAGCCCAACACTTTTCTTTTCTTAACCTACTTCAGAGGGTTACGTTTACAATTAAATGTTTTCCCTCCTGCTTAGTTTAGAAAGAGGTCACTGAGGAGGAAGTTACTCATGGTGAGGTGTTATTACACCTCTGATTCTAGCAGATTATGCCGCACAGGCGGTATAGTTCTATCTTCTAGGAATGTGACGGTCTCAAACACATTTTGATCCCACGTAACTCTTTTACAGTACCTAGTCTCTAAAGATGTAGCTTGGTTTGGAAGTAGAATAGAAGACTGGGTGCTGGGGTCTGGCAGCTTTGCATTGTGACTTGGAGAAAGTGAGTTCATCTCTGCGCTTGTTTTTCCTTCACCAGAATGGATAAGGCACGCTGCCATGGGGTGCTTAATTAATGCTTAGGGAGCTCCTTGAGATGCGTTACTAAAAGTAATGATATAAGTGCAGAGCATTATTCTGTTATCAAGAGCAGTGCCTGGTAATTGACACTATTTGCTACTTAGAATAAAGAATATTAGTTAAATTAAATCTTGATTTTTCTTCCCCTTCTAGAGAATTTCTCCGTTCCCCCTGATGTCACTGCAACTACCTCCACATCCTCTTCCTCAGCACGCCCAGCAACTATTGACCTTCCTCCTTCAGGAATTGTCAAAGGCATGCACAAAGGGTCTAACCGGTCTAGTCTCATGGACACTGCTGATGGTATGGAACGCTTCTGAGCGCCACAAATTAGACCAGAGCACGAGGAAGGAGCAGAACTTTGTGCCATAGTGATGTGATTAGAAAATGCTAGTCTTGAGCTGCTGTAGGACATCTACATCAGTTCTGACTGCACTTGTATCCCACTAACTTTAAGTGCCTTTAACGTCAGCATTACTACACTTTTGTGTACACTACAGAAACCTGCTGTGCCTCCTCCCTACTCAGAAAGAAATTTGTGGGGCAAGGAATTAGGTTCTCTGTCATGCTCCAGGGTTAATGCACCTAGGTTCTGCAGTTCCAGTGACCCAGGTCTTTTTTGATCCACCTCCTTTTGTTGCAAGCGACTTACTCAGCTTCTAGACTCGGAGAACCCTGAGCAAGATCAAAACTCCTTTAGTGACTAGCTGCCTCCTGCCCTTGGGGAAAGTAAGTCATCTGTTCAGTGCTTTCCCCAAAGTGCCTGGAACTAAGTTAGATTTGCCATTTAGGGAGACTGGATGACTCAGAGCCATTACCTCTAGATTGTGTTTTCTCATCCTGCCCTGTGACTGAGACTGGTCTCTGAAGTGAATCAGTTTGTGGGAGAGTTCCTCAATTCAGCGTGTGATGCACAAGTGGATTGAAATAATCACCACAGACAGGGCGCCCTTCTGGCACTCCGCAGCATGAGCAAGGATTGAAGGAGCCCTTGTTTTTCCCTCCCCACAAATCACTGCTGAGGCAGGCAGAGCCAGGTGGCCTGTGTGGGGTGCTCGTGCTGCTGCCAGATGGATTTTCTACACTAAATGCACACTCGGGGCTGACAATAAGTGAATTACCTGGCACTTTCCAACACTAAATCCATTGGCATTTTATTGGTGAATGCCAAGCATCACAGACAGAGCTGAAGCTTATAGGCAGTGCATACAGCAAGTGGAGACTGTCTGTGCAGAATTCCCTGTGGGGGACTGAACACCTTAAGAAAGCTGGGTTAGTCTCTTTGGCAGGGATTTTCAAGGCAGCCTTTATTTTACTGCGATATGTAATTGTACACTGAAGGTGCATCTAGTCCAGGGGTGGGCAAAATACGGCCGGGGGCCCAGATCTGGCCCGCCAGGCCATTGTATCCAGCCTGCAGGGCCCCTAAAAAATGTAGACAAATTAATATTTATTTGCTCCTGGCTGCCTGTCAGAGATGACAAGAGCCAGGGGCAGTAGGACCCAGCAGCAAGACCTGCCCAACCCTGCTCTCCCCAACCAGAAGCCCCTGCCTAGCAGAGGCTTCTGACCTGGGACCATGGGGCTGCTCCTGCTTCCCTGCACCCGAGAGGGAAATGCGGCCCTCGACAGCTTGCCAAAACTCGGGAAGTGGCTTTCTGCCCGAAATAACTGCCCACCCTGATCTAGTCAGTGAGGTAGCTTTTAGAAGCTCTGCTGTCCTTCCTCTTTGTTCAGCTCACCATCTTCTGGTAAAAGTTCATACTTTTTATGGGAGGTTGTTGCTTTTAAAATGCCATTGTTTTGGAATCCCCAGAGGGAAAGGGAGAGGGATGAAAACACACTGTTTTGCTACCAAGGAGTTGACAGCACTGGTTGCGAGTTACTTGGCATAAGATTTTGGGGCAGAATCATAGAAAAGTAGGGCTGGCGAGGCCCTCTGGAGGCATTTATTCCAACCCCCTGCTCAAGGCAGGACCATCCCCATCTAAATCATCCTAGTGTTTGTCTAACTAGTTTCAAGGGTGGTATTCCACAGCCTCTCTAGATAGTCTTGTTCAGTGCTTACCCAATGGATAAGGGTGGTATCTGTGCTTGCAGTGACAGCACCCTCTGCTGGCCCCGTTGCGCACTTACAGTTGGTTTGTATTGCAGACTGATGTCGGGTTGCACGACATGTTCCACAACGCATGTAATAGATTAAAGACCAATGGGAATGAGGCTTTGGAATGGGAGGAAAAGATCAAAATGGCTCTTGGTTCCTAGCAGCTTCTGCCCCCTTGGTAAACGCAGAAGAAGTCTAATCACTGCAGCTTGCGCTGGTCTCTCTCATTAAGACTGGGCCGGTTCTGGTGTGCCCAGTCATCCTGTAGAAGGGGGTAATTCCTTGGGATGAGAATCAAGATAAAAAGCACAGTAGGAATGGTAAATCCTTTGATTAGCTGAACTCTTTCC